GGGGGGGGGGGGGGGTAGAAAAGAGGAGAGAAACGACGTGTCGTACTCATGAGAAGCATAGAATGCCTCATAAGAGGCGTCATTATCAACCCTGGATGCACCGCGTTGGCTGTTATATTCACACCCTCTTCCTATAACCAACAAAATAATAATAATAATATAATTATATCATTATCATTATAATTTTAAAATTAAAAATTTAGAGACCTACTTGAAATCGACGAGTAAGCTCTTTGACATGTAAAATGTTCGCTAGTTTTGATTGCCCGTACGCTCTTTTATCAGAATACCTATAAATTAACCGCTTCTATTATAATTCGAAACTAAAAATAAATAAATAATTAATTCATTAATGAAAAAATAAATAAATAAATAAATACCCATTCTTATCATTGATTTTATTGAAGCGAATTCCATCCCCATAAGTGTGGACATGAGCAATAGATGACAAATTGACAATTCTACCCTCGATTCCTGTGCTTTTGGCAGTGCTCTTCATTTTCTCAAGAAGTAGGTTTGTCAACAGAAAATGACCTTAAAAAAAAAACACCATAAATTAAATTAAGAAAAAAAAAACAAAAATATTTAATTAATTAATAAAAATAAAAAAAAATAATTATTGTACCGAGGTGGTTGGTGGCAAACTGCAACTCTATCCCATCTTCAGAGAGTTGAAACGGGCAAAACATAACCCCAGCATTATTTCTGAAATTACACAAATAAAAATCACTTAAAAAGATAAATAAATAATTCAAATAAATATTCATAAAATTAAAAAAACAAATTACATTAAAATATTGAGAGGGAGATTAAGCGCAAGGAAATTATGAGCAAATTCCGTGGTGGACTTGATGGAAGAAAGGTCAAGCTTAAGAACGTCCAATTTGGCGGCCGGATTCTGTTCCAGTAATTGCTGTTTAGCTTTATTTGCACCCTCCAAATTCCTGGCTCCGATGATCACGTGCACTTTTCTCATCGCTAAAACCCTCACCGTTTCCAGCCCGATCCCACTCGCTCCTCCGGTCACAATGGCGGTGAGATTCGCAGCGTCGATCCCTTCACTCACCTCCTCCGCCGTGGAAGCTGACCCGAACCCGCTAGGCCCGGGCCATCCAGTTACGAGGGAAATGATCGACATTTCTCAACGAAGGTGGCAGCGACGGCGGTGGAGGCGGCGACGGTGGCGGCGATGGGAGGAGGAGAGAATGGGGAAAGAAATTTATAGAGGATTTAGGAGTGGTGGGGGGAAGGAGTAAATGTGATGGGGGTTTGGCAGGTTTTGGATAGTAAATAGCTTTCTGTTTGGTTAAACCCTTTCTTTTTCTTTATGTTCATATTTATTATTTATTATGAATTATTTTTCTACCTATTATTAAACTACTTTAAATTTTAAATAAATTAAATTAGTATATTCTTTTAGATTTTTTATTAGGGAAAGTGTCTACTAGTGAAAGATTTCTACATTCTTATAAAATAATAGTTTATTCTCTGACCAATGTGGGGTCCACAATTCCCCGGTCATAATCTAGGGTCTTCGCTGTTACTCGTTCCTCCCTTCCATCCACGTGCAATCTCACCTATTTTAATTTTTTATATGTAATTTTTAAATAAATTAGAAATATATATATATATTTAAGGAGTAATTATGATTTTAAAAATTTAGAAAATTGTATTATGAGAATAGATAAATGCGTTTTTTATTCTTAGCAGCCGACCTAAATTTGGAGCTGTATAAACGGCCAAAACGCTGCCGTTTCAATTACTTGTCGGTGACGGAGGCACGGGGATTTTATTTTCTTTGAGAAAAAAAAAAGAAAAGAAAAAGAAAAAGTCTGGATTTCACATTTATTGTTAAGTTATTTTCAAGATTTTTTTTTAAAAAGCTATAATTTTTTTTCTATTTTAGGGAAATTAAATGGGACATAATTTGTACTAATACAGTGAACCGTAATTAAATATTAATTTCTCCATGGTAATTTTAGGATACACATTTACTATAAAAATGCAAAATAATTTTTTTTTAAATTTTTTGATTTCTCTCTATCTAATTTTAATAATTTGGCTAAATTAAAAAAAAAAACAAAAAACAAAAAACAAGTCTTTTTTTTTTTATAAAAAAAAACATATATTATTTTGAAAAATACGATATTTCCCTTAATTTTTTACGGACATATCAAACTATATTTAAAGTAGAAATGACCTAAAATGATGACACGGTGATTAAAATGTTTGTTTAAATTAAATTTAATAGAATAAAATATTGGTTCAATATTTGAATTATGGATATTTTTTAAACGAGTAATTTTTATATATTATTTAGCATTTTTTTTATACCTAATTTTATGCATTTTAAAAGATTTATTATTATTTTAGTTTATGTGTCCATTTTCTTAGCTTTATAGTTATATAATAAAATCCGAATCATTATTTTCATGATTCTTTTAATAGCGAAATTGAACGAATATTAATAAATTAAATTTCTTAATAATAATAAATGAACCAATTAAAACTTCATTTTTAAAACGGGAATTTAATATATTTAAAGAAAGTTTATAATTTAAATTAATGCAGTTATTAATTTAAATTTTATATGGATTCATCCCTAAATTTAGGGTAATTGATTTAAATAATAATAATAATAATAAAATACGAAGGCTCATGCACCTGCCCGGTGCCCTGTATAATAAGGACCATCGGCCCACACCGTCCTCAATAATGAGGGCTGGTTCCCGTGGTCTCATTAACCTTTCAATTTCTCATTTATTAAGTACCAGAGGTTACCCATCTTCATTAGGGTACCGTGCCCTTATCATTTTTCTTTTTCATAATTAATGATTTTCTCGACACCGCTATCATTTTAATTCTCGTTAACCCTTTTTTATTTTTTATTATCATTTCTGAGATCGTCAATATTAGTAATAGAAATCCTGAGTCAAATAGTATAGTAACAGTGAATTCCTAACACGAAAGAAACCTACGTTTATTACGAACATTCTCCATGTAAAATGATGGGTTCGAGGAACAAACTTGAAATCCGCTACCCGTCTTAATTCACCAAAAAAGTATGAAGCTGAAACCCGTTCTTGCACCGAAGTTGCTGAACAACATTTTATATACCCTTCCAATTCTAAATTCAATTTAACGTACCATAGGTGCATTAAATTTGGGTCAAAATAATTTGTTCCGAATGAAAACTTATCCAAATAAAGAGTGCATTGATCAATAGCTTACAATGACAATGACCACTAATGTGAAATGTTCCCACTAGGCACGACAATTTAATAAAGAGAGAAATAAAATGGTTGTCAGTCTTCAATAGTACAATGTTGTTGATGTGTACTCATCGGGTGGCAACGTGTGCGTGTCATCAGCTCGCTAGAGGACGTGATAGTACCATATCGAAAAGTACCGCTAGCA